AGTAGTGAAGCGAATAATTTTACATGTTAACGCAACACTGTCAGTCATGGAGAGGAGTGGGTTAAAAGCCCTCCACAGTATAAATGTATAAAAGGAATTTCAATCAGGCATTTCGAAAGGAGATATGGTGAGGAAGTGGGGTTAAGGACAATTTTTAAAGAAACTCTGACACTTTTTTCAGTGATACCTTCTTTTAAAGATAAATATGAGCCACTATCAAGATCCGGCTGTTATAAGATTATGTGCTCCCAAGGCCGACCTTATGTTGGCGAGATATGTCGGCCGATCCGGCAAAGATTAGCAGGGCACAAAAATGCTTGTAAAGGCAGCTGAGTCGAATGGTCAGAAGTGGCGGAAAACATAACGGAGACTGGGCATGACATAGAATGGTCTCGTACGCAGAGATTTGCTGATTATGGTATATCTGCTACAAAATTCAATATAAGAGAGGCTATTAAATTAATATATTAGGGAATACGCCGAATGAAAGGAATGGTGGTAGAAAGTTGAGTATGAAGTACTTATTTCATAAATTAGTGGGTTTTCGAAACTACCAGACTACCCTATTTCTTCAAGATGATAAATGATTGGTGGTTGATTTTTCCCACAATCATATGAGTGGATTGAAAACATCTGCTCTACTCATATCATTGTGGGAAAAATCAGCTACCAATCCTTCATCACCTTAAATAAAATAGAGTGAACAAAACTTAGAATTACGTATGCTTGATTGAAAGATTGAAATAGAAAGAGGGTGCTGAATCGCAATCCAAAAGAAGACGACTCCATTTGTCAGCTGAGTGATGGTTTTAACTAAGCTAAAGTTCGTTCAACAAACACGTCAAGCTTATCAGCCAAAACGGACGTGCGGAGCTACGCAATCCCAGACAAGCTTCTCTTTGGGTCATTAAACCGTAAAAGCCTAGACTAATGGGTTCGGACTGGTGGTTTCGTAACCTAACTTTCACGTGTACAGCCGTACATCTCATCAATTTGACCAGGGTTATTTACGGACTAACGCAATCTCGGTCATCCTTTTTTATTTTATTTTATCTTTGAGTCATTAAGTCCTGATGACCCGTGGCTGATGTCAAGCTTTCTTCTAATTACTCCGAGTTATGACCGGTCTTGCGTACACACGTTAACATACATACACTCATAGGCACACTAGAGTATACGTGTATCAACCAAACCTTTATATATTCATATATATCTTAAATATTGCTCGCAATGAGTATAAATATGATATAGAAAGAAATCGGTTAGTCTTTTGACTTCGTGTTAACTTGACACTTTTTCAAGAATGAGTCCCAGCCCTGAGGAATTTCGTCATGTGACGAACGAAAGCTTAGCTCGTCTTCGCCCGAAACGTTGGAGGATGCCTCGTGGACTGCATCAACCTGAACCTTGTATTACTTACAAACGGCTGCAGCACAACGCAAATCAGCCGACGCCTTCTGGTAAGATTGACCTACGAATCTGTTCATCCTGTAATTCCATATGAAATGAAAGTCTTCACATCAAAAAACTGCCTGCAAAAGTTCATGGAACCAGGAATCTAAACTGGCAGAAAACATAACTAATATAAGACACCAAATTGGCCTAAGATACGCCATGCACGATAGGAAGAGTTTATATCTAAGTGTATGATTGGGGAGTCAAAAGATGTTGATATAACAACTAACAATTTGATAGAAAGAATGAGATTATGAAGTTGAGTTGGAACAAGCTCTTGTTATTGGGTAGGATTATATAGAGCTACCAGAACGAACTACAAAGCACTAGGAAAAGATAAGAGGAAGGGTAGTTTTTATTTTCACATCTTAAACTGACTCAAGAGAAACTACAAACCATTTCATGCAATAAATTTAAAACATCACACTACATGTCATTTAAATAAGGAAAAAGTTGTTTAGACCTTAGCGACCTCAACTTCACACATCTACAAGCACGTAAGAACAAGTGGGAAGAAAGTAATCATTACGATCGCAAAATTAGCCCATAAGAGCTAGGTATGAATACAGTCGGAAAAAGTTTTGGCTGCTTGCTTGGCGAACTGATTAAATAGTGAGTTATCAGTCTTGCGATCTTTATTAACAGGAGAGATGAAAGCTTAACACGGATTCATCGAGGTCGCAGAAAGGTGCGCCTAAAACGGCTTGGCACAAATCGACATTTAGAATTTCAGAGTAATCTCACTTGAGTTTCCGGTAAGGCCAACTTGTAAAGCCCTTCCATTAACATTTTGATTCAAAATTGAAATTTCAGTGACATTAGTGGAATACTAAAAGTAAATAAAATGACGGCAGCTCAACGAATCAGGCTTTAAAGCTTTACGCCAGAGTTCAAAGCACCTGACCTATCATCGATATCCGCTAAGTTGTAGCCTACCCTATATTCGTGGTTGAGATGAATTTATAAGAAGTTAGTCATAAATAGTGTGTCTAGAAATGGATAAGGCATCGAATGTCAATCAACCAAACAGTGCTAGGCGTATTGACAACCTCGTAGAGATGGACAAAAACTCACCGGCTTGATTCGTCTTCCGAATCAAAAAAGGTTGTCGAATCGACATCAGAGCTAAGCAGGGAGGAGGAACTTTCGTAGGTGGTAGTCGTGTTCGCAGTCCCGATTGACCCACCAGTCGTCGTGGCCCCAGAAATGGCGTGGCCTCTAGCCCCAAAGCGGCCGTGACGAGGACCTGCCCACGAAAAGGAGGGAATGTGTATGTAAGGATTAAGAGGAATGTGCACGAAATTGTGAAAATGGTTGACGAAAAAGGGAAAACTAAATGAAATAAATTGAAGCCCAATTAAAAGTTAGGTTTTAAAGAGTCTCTTGCTCTCTGTTAATGTGTACTTTGAAAATCAAAAAGACATTCGAATCTCACCCATCCACATATCATGAAGTAGATTTCGCCTTATTGTCGCAATCAGACAAACCAGGCCAATGATGAAATCATATAAAAGACTGATGACGCTCCCATACCTGTCAACCAAATCCGGAGAAAGCAAATTAGGATAAGATTGCATCTCAGTAGTGTACTAGTAGCATCAAGACCGATCAGTCGTCCTTAATCCAGTCCGGCGGCCAAAGTTCAAGTTGTTGTAAGAGGAAACAAGAAAGTCTTTTGAATCAAATTTCATGAAAGGTGGAAGACTTCGGAATGGATATTACCAGAATATGGAAATGGTAATGGTAGGGAAACCCCTAAGAAGGTTTCTTGGTTCATCAAGCAATAAACTCGCCTACAGCCTAGTTTGTGCTAAGACATAAGGAAGGTCAGCTCGATCGACTTCTAGTAACTAGGATCAGCATACAGGACGCATAAGAATATGTATGAATATGCCACAGACAGATTTCTTAAAATCCCTTAAGAGACAGAAATGAGCACACGAGAGCAGACGGTACATCTGGCATAGACAACAGAATCAGAAGGATTAATTGGTGGAGTGACAGGACCAAATCTAAAAAATCTATATAAAAAACAATGATTTCTGGGTGGATAAAATGAGGGGATGAGGGAAGGGAGGAGGACTGGAAACGAGAATCGAGGAAAATTGAGGCATGGGGTTATAAGTGCCGAGCTGACTATAATTGGGCCGACTTTGGAATAAGCCTTAAGAGTTAAGGCCGAAATAGCTAGAGTACCGGCAAAAAGTTAGATTGTTTGAAGAGATAAGCATAAAATGCAAAAGCAAAAAGTAGTTTAGAAAGAGTTAATTTGAAGGATGAATAATCAAACCTAATTGGTGGTAGAAAATTCTCCCAGGTTGCCAAAATGCCTGCGAGCTATCCAAAGGGAAAAGGATGATGTGTGCGTCTTTTCCTCCGTGAAATGCCATACTTGCTGGTGGCAGCTTCTTCCGCTCTCTACATCTACATTATTCTGGCTCGTTTCGATCTCGACAACATAGCCCATAACAATGTCACTATGCCAAACTGGTAGTTGGGAGATTTGGCGTGGATGGTGCAGGATCACGTGTTTGTAAATGCATTTGGAATGAGTGAGAAAAAATGCTCGGGACCAGAAGAAGCAATGATAGAGCCAAAACATGTAAGCCTCCGGAAGATAAGACAAGGAAAGAGAAGAGAAGGGAGAAAAGAGAATAAAAGAAAAGGGAAGAGAGTCAAGATCTGTAAATGTACTGGGGACCACCAGCAAAGGATTTCACAAAATGTCAGGAGATGGCAGTACTATAGAAATTAGGTAGCAGGCATTATGGACGACTGAGAAGGACAAGATCATCATACAAATGGTGATACTAAGTGGGACAGACAGCAAACTGAGGACAAAATGCTTATCACATTGGCTCAGAACTCTCTAAAGATGGCTACGACGCAATGGGAGGTCACATAAGCTGATGATGATCGAGGCTGGAACTAGAGTCCAAGCGGGAGGAGAATACCTTTTGTGAGGT